TAAAGAAAATAAACAAGATAATTTTGTATGGTGATGAGTGTTCTAATATAGTAGCAACTTTTGCTAGAGTGGTCAGACACAGCTCTTCTGATGGGAATGATACAAAGGAACCAGCCATAAGGAGGTCCAGGGGAAGTGCACGTCAAAGGGAACAGTTAGCACAAGGGCTCGGAGGCAGGATGAACTTGTATTCAAGGAATAACACAAAGGGCGATACGGTTAGAACTGAGGGTGGGGTCAGAGAAGAAGTTATGAGTGGAAGGATAAGCAAGGCCGGGTCATGCAGGTCACATACTGAAACATTAAACATTGTGGGTTTTTTTAAGTCTTTTCTTGAGGCACCTGGGTGGCTCAGTTGGCTGAGGTCCAACTTTGGCTCAGGTCGTGATCTCGTGGTTCATGAGTTTGAGCTCTGCATCAAACTTCAGATCCTCTGTCCTCCTCTCTCTGCCCTTCCCCCACTTGCACTCTCCCCAAAATAAAATAAATATTTCAAAAGAAATAAATGAAGTCATTTTTCTTGAGGTGCAATCAGTGATATGCTGGTAAATACTTAATGACCAACTCTCAGGGAGGAATGAGTCCTGATTTACAGTGCTAGCCAATTTCTGTGGTGTAAATACCTTCTCTGCGGCTGATTTCAAGCTAGGTGACATCATTAAATGGAGAGGTGGGAAGAGACGTACAGAATTGGTTCTTGTGAGATAGAGAAACAGCTCCTGGACACCACTAGGTATAATTGACAGAAATATTAATTTGCCCTTTTGATGTGTACAGGGCTATAAATTTTGACAAATAAGAATTTACATTTGGGGGCACCTGGGTGGCTCTGTCGGTTGAGTATCCGACTGTGGCTCAGGTCACGATCTCGTGGTTCGTGAGTTCCAGCCCCGCATCGGACTCTGTACTGACAGCTCAGAGCCTAGAGCCTGGAGCCTGTTTTGGAAGCTGTGTCTCTGTCTCTTTCTGTCCCACCCCTGCTCATGCTCTGTCTCCTTCAAAAATAAATAAACATTAAAAAAATTTTTTTTCAAAGAATTTACATTTGGCAGCATCACTATAATGAGGGAGGATTTGATGATAGGTGGGAAGGGTGGTGTAAGTTCCTTCAGCATTTAGACAATTGTGCAAGATCTTTCTTTTCTAAGTGGAGTTTTCTCTGAGATTATAATATTTTGTTTCATATAATCCGATGTAGGATCTTGTTAGGCATTTTGACCGTAGTGGCCTCTGGCTAAGATTCATTAGAAGAAGACAATAAAAGTAACTCAAGGATAATTCTAGTGTCCTTAAAGGATCCCAGCATCTTCTCTGCTTAACATTTTCAGATGAAGCCTGAAATCAAATTTTCATGGATGGATTACAACATGGATAGCCCATCCATAGAAGACTGAGAGTCACCAAAGTATCTAGGGGTAATATTTGACCTGAGGAAATTATGTTTTCAGTTCATCTGATTTATTTCCCTTTACCTGAAATGGATCCATTGGTCAAGAGAGTTATAAGCATCAAGCATACTTTGTAATACAAGTGAATGACTCCATTAATAAATAGAACTTGGATTCTAAACCAGGATGTTTGCTTTAACCTCCCTATATTTGGGATATTGTTTAAATACATATTCAAAAAGAAAAGGAGATTTGAAAATTCATCATTATAAATATCAAGTATTTTTTTATTTTATTTTATTTTTTTAAACTTTTTTTTTTTTCAACGTTTATTTATTTTGGGGACAGAGAGAGACAGAGCATGAACGGGGGAGGGGCAGAGAGAGAGGGAGACACAGAATCGGAAACAGGCTCCAGGCTCCGAGCCATCAGCCCAGAGCCTGACGATAAATATCAAGTATTAAAAAATGAGTTAGCATTCATTGAGCACTCACTCCATAAGTGCATGATCCCGTAGTTCATTTGTTTAATCTTTACAATAACCCCTTGAGAGAAGTAGTGTTATTATTTTATAGATGAACCTGAAATGTATGCATCGTAGCTATTATGAAAGAGAAAAAGCTTGTTATTGTATCACCAGTATGGCAGATTGGGGATTTAAGTGGAAGTATTTTTATTCCTCCTGAATTTGTCTTATTTGAATTATTGGGAAAGCCTCATGAAAATCTAGGGGGAAACCTGTCAATTATTTTTAAAATTTTTCTTTTTTTTAATAATTAAAAAAAATGTTTATTTAGTTTTGAGAGAGAGAAAGAGAGAGACAGAGCGTGAGCTGGAGTGGGTCAGAGAGAGATGGAGACACAGAATCCGAAGCAGATTCCAGGGTCTGAGCTGTCAGCACAGAGCCTGACGCGGGGCTTGAACCCATGAGCCACAAGATCATGACCTGAGCTGAAGCCAGATACCTGACTGAGCCACCCAGGTGGCTAAAATTTTCATATATTCAAAGCTCTTAGGGGCGCCTGGGTGGCTCAGTCGGTTAAGCGTCCGACTTCAGCTCAGGTCATGATCTCGTGGTTTGTGAGTTTGAGCCCCATGTTGGGCTCTGTGCTGACAGCTCAGAGCCTAGAGCCTGCTTCGGATTCTGTGTCTTCCTCTCTCTGCCCCTTCCCCGCTCATGCTCTGTGTCTCTCTGTCTCTCAAAAAAATAAATCAAATGTAAAAAAAAAATAATAATAAAAAAAGCTGTTAGATGTTCATACATGTGTACCACAGACATGAACGTTTTAAAGATAAGACAATACCACCAGTGGTAACTTGCTAAAGGAAGAAGGTTTATTGAATACAAAGAACTGACATTTTCTGTAGGACAATCAAGTCATCATATTTGTATGTGACATTCTTCCAGATGAGTGGGGAGATACCACTATTGATTGCCCAGACGGTGCTCATATTTCAGTAACAGAAAGAAAACAGGACAGGCATTTTTCTTAGGCTTGCTCATTTTTCCAGACACAATGCTCTCTCTTCTTAGAGAGTATTTGGCAAATTCTCTCTCTTGTGTCTCGAATCAATTGCTTTGAGATTTCTCTTCCAGGGAGTGCAGCCTGGTGGTAAGTATTTTGCTTCGTTGGTCTACCTCCTCAAGAACTTTCTTAACCACTATGGCTTTGGCCAGATCTAAAAATTAAAATTTAAAAGGAGATTTTAGAGAGTTGATAAAAGATGAATAAGATCACGATAGCTAAAATGTGGAGGCAGCCCAAGTGTCCACCAATGGATGAATAAATAGATACATAAAATATGGTATATCCATACAATGGAATGTTATTCAGCCTTCAAAAGGAAGGAAATTCTGACACATGCTACAACATAGATGAATCTTGAAGATACTGTGCTAAGTGAAAGAAGTCAATCACAAAAAGACAAATATTGTATGATTTCCCTTGTATGAGGGACCTAGGGTAGTCAAATGCATAGAGAAGGAAAGTTGCAGGCTGGTTGCCTGGGGCTGGGAGGAGGGGGTAAGGGGAAGCTATTGTTCAATAGTTGTAGAACAGGATGAAAAGAGTTCTACAGATGGATGGTGTTGATGGTTGTACCACAATATAAATGTACTTAATGCCACTGCACTGTACCCTTTAAATCATTAAGATGGTAACGCTTATGTTCTGTGTATTTTACCACAATGAAAAAACTGAAAGAAAAGATGAATAAGAAATTATATCAGTTAAAGGACTAATAGGCTTTTGAATAGCATGGACTATGTAGGAAGCACAAATAGATAAACTTTTGGTGAATTTTGATTTCTTGGTTCGCTAAAAACATGGTGACATATGCCACTGTTTAAAATTAGCACATACCACTAAAGTTAGACACCCAGCACACGCTGATATCTACTACAAATCTTTATCATATCCGTTCTCATTAAGCCCTGGGAATATAAAAACAACCAAGCTGGACATCGCAAGTGAAATACGACAGCATAAAAACACAATTCCATTTTGGGGTGTCTGGTGGCTCAATCGGCTGAGCATCTGACTCTTGATTCTGGCTTGGGTTGTGGTCTCACGGTTGGTGAGTTTGAGCCCTGCATGGGGCTCTGTGCTGGCAGTGCAAAGCCTGCTTGAGATTCTTGGTTTCCCTGTCTCTCTGTCCCTCCCCTCCCAATAAATAAACAAACTTAAAAAAAAAAAAAAAAACACAGAATTTCATTTTAATTACCTCTGACTGGATTTCCCATGTTTCCAGATCCATAATCTTTAGACTTGTAACCTCCAGACTTGCAAGCCCTGTGAACACATATCGTTGGAAACATCACCAAAGAGTGATTCAGAGGGAACCCCTTTAATTCTAGATTCACTCTCGCATTTTCTTTAGCTATTTGGTGAGAACAGTTGCCGTGGGTTACACAGTTGGAACGACTCTGCCTTAGTATCTAGAGGTGATATTTTTGTCATACCTTTAATACAGGCTTGTCATCTTTTGGTTTTGTCACATGTTGCTAATTTGTATGTTGGCAGGCCCGTGTTCTGTTTAATCTTTAGCATTTGTGACAATAAATACAGTCATGTCAGTTTACATTCACTTTCCAGGGATCTAAGTTTCAAGTGGACTTCAGTACAGGACATCGTCCCTATAAATTTGTTTTACCCACCCGTCATCTCCACCGATGAGGAGGCAGTAGGTCTCAATTTCCTTTTCCAGGTGGACCTTGATGTCGAGCAGCTGCTCATACTCCAGTTTCTGGCCCTCTGTTTCGGTTCGGACCTGGTGCAGCTGTTCCTCCAGGGCCCCGATCTGAGCCTGGATCTGGGCGAGCTGCGTGCAGTAGTTTCCTTCGGTCTCGGTCAGGGAGCACTCCAGGGAGTGTTTCTATCAGGGAACAAGAAAGAACCTGAGGCAGATACAGATAGGCAGAAATTTGCTCTGATAGATGATTTTCTTCTCTTGTGAACTTTGTCTACAATTGTGTTCAATTTCACACTGACACATGGTTAAGACTGTGAAATTCTTAAAAAGGAGCACATGTCTGGTTGAATAAACTGGAGACATGAATGTGGTTGTTTTGGCTGTTCTATGTAAAATCCTATTCTTTTCTTATGTTCTAAGTTAGTTACATAAATGTGTATGTGGATATGTTTCCACAAGGGTTAGGGGTCTTGAAACCAATAAGTGCATATTTTAAAAACAAATTTTTTTTAACATTTATTTATTTTTGAAAGAGAGAGAGCATGAGCAGGGGAGCAGGGGCAGGGAGAGAGGGAGACACAGAATCTGAAACAGGCTCCAGGCTCTGAGCTGTCAGCACAAGAAACACGCCTGGAATCCAGGAGCAACAAGCAAGGAGATCATGACCTGAGCCTAAGTCAGAACTTAACTCAGCTTAAGGAACTGATCCACTCAGGCGCCCCCAACTGGCGCATATTTACAAGGATACCCCAGGAGACGGTGGGAATTCGTCCTTTGCCTACCGTGGCTAGGAGAGACTGAAGTTCAATTTCCAGTGTTTGGAGATTGCGTTTCATTTCAGTCAGTTCATTCCGGGCTGAGGTGGTGGCCCCGACGTCCTCGGAGATCTGCTGTTGCAGCGAAGCGCTCTGAAAAGGTATAAACCAGGGAGCAAATCTTAGTTTTGTGACTGTCACTAAGATGCGGAGGGATTGTTCTCTGGACAAGACTCACCTTCTCGTTGAACCAGGCCTCCGCGTCCCTGCGGTTCTGCTCGGCCAGGTCTTCGTACTCGGCCCGCATGTTGTTCAGCAGGACCGTGAGGTCCACGCCGGGCGCCGCGTTCATCTCCACGTTCACGTTCCCGCCCGCCGCGCACTGCAGGGCCTGCATTTCCTGGAGGCCAAAAAGTGTGCTGCTCAGGTATGCAGGGATCTCACAGTCCAGAGGCATAGCTTTGGAAGGATGCTTAGAGTACATTTGGCTGTACATCCCCACCCCCCGCCCCCCGCCCCCAGCTAAGCAACGACCCTTCTCTACTTTTTATATTCCCGTCGCACGAAGCAGCCTGTTTCCTTATGGGAGAATTTTTTAAATTGTTCCAGAGCTCTTCCATATGGTGAACCAAAGTCCTGCTTTTATAACTCCGTTGGTTTTAGTTCTGTTGTACAGAAAGTCTTAATTCCTTAAGATCTTTAAAGTGAATTATCTGTCATCTCTTATTCTATCCATTTACAACTGAAATGTCTCCACATTGGTAGACTGGTCTTCCTTCCACTTGGAGAGCAGCTTCCATGTGTTCTTGACTCAGCTACATCCTGAACACAGCATGGACAGGGTTGAGGGGCTGAGTCTGAATAATTCTGAACAATTGAAATAATTATAAGTATTTATGTTTATTTATATTTATTTATATTTATAAATGTTTGTCTATTTATAATTAATAGGGGTGCCTGGGTGGCTCAGTCGGTTAAGCATCTGACTTTGGCTCAGATCATGATCTCAGGTCTGTGAGTTTGGGCCCCTCATCGGGCTCTGTGCTGACAGCTTGGAGCCTAGAGCCTGCTGTGGATTCTGTGTCTCCCCCTCTCTCTCTGCCCTTCCTATACCTGTGCACGCTCTCTCTCTCTCTCTCTCTCTCTCTCTTAAAAATAAATAAACATTAAAAAAAAAAAAGATGCATGTGGGTTTGTCTGTGAGTGAAGCATTAAAAAAGTCAATTGTATTTAATTTATCAAAAATGTATTCAGTAACAACCATGGGCTATGCCCACAGTTGAACCCATGTATCCACGTAAATGTTGTTTTTTAACTAGTTATTTTTATAAGACAGCCTCATGACTAATCAAGTAGCATTTTTAGCTTGATCTCCTGTGTTAAGTAGTAGGCTCGACTGTAGAAGCCTTTTGGCTGTTTAAAAATATCAAATTCATTTTCAAAGAATAAAGATTTTTTTTCCCCCCAGAAAACAGTGGTTCTGAAAGCAATCCCAAAGCTGTGTCTTAGGAACAGTGGCTGTATGATCTGATTTTGAAGTAGCTTCCTAGTATACTTTGAGGTATACTCTTCATTTGGAAGAAAAATTTTTGATATAACAATTTATTTTCAGTCTCACTATTTTTATAGATACACCTATTAAGAATATACATCAAGGGGTGCCTGGGTGGCTCAGTCAGTAAAGCAGCCGACTTCAGCTCAGGTCATGATCTCACAGTTAGTGAGTTTGAGCCCCGTGTCGGGCTCTGTGCTGACAGCTCAGAGCCTGGAGCCTGCTTTAGATTCTGTGTCTTCCTCTTTCTCTGCTCCTTCCCCGCTTACACTCTGTCTCTCTATCTGTCTAAAAAATAAATAAACACTAAAAAAAAAAAATTTTTTTTAAGAATATACATCAATATTAAATGTATATATTTACTGCATGTATAAAGTAAATGCTTATGTGTTTTGAATCTTTCACTATTGTGTAGAAATTTAGATCTAGTTTTCTTAGGATATGCTTATAGTATGTTTATGTAATTAGATGTAATCTCTTAACTGTATCATTTTAGCTTAGCTATAATTACCTAGCCAAACACTACTCTTGTAACCCTGATTGATCTGGAAAACAGGATTCTTCCCCCCTCCCCACCCCTCCATGGGAAACTTGATGAAAGAGCAAGCAAGGGTGAATCTAGACAAATATCAGGCCATTCCTCAATCCAACTCAGGCCTCACGCTTGTCTGACAATGGGTCTTTAGTACCAATTTCTTATTTAAGAAGTCAAGCGCATTATTTTCTGTCAGATGGAAGGTATCTGCAGAGGGGCAGCAAAATGTGCGCAGACAGCTCTTACCTCTTTATGGTTCTTTTTCAGGTAAGTCATCTCCTCACTGAGAGTTTCATACTGAATCTCCAGATCTGTTCTGCACAAGGTGATTTCATCCAGAACTCTGCGTAGCCCATTGACATCACTCTCTACACTCTGATGAAGAGCCAGCTCATTTTCATACCTTAGAGAATATTAATGATTTTCCAGGATGTCATATGGTGGGAGAAGTAGTCACCAATCAGTGATCAAACACTAGAAGTCTGGACTTTTGAAGTGGGAGGTTTGGCCACAGAGACATTTTCAAAGTATATTGTATATATAAGAGCTATTATTTTCTTTAATTTGAGGCATTTCTTCGGCAGAAAAGAAACTAGGGGATGGGATGCTGCTTTTATAGCAGTTCATACTTTATATTTCATAGCCAAGTATAAAGAAGTAATAACATTCTGTTTATTTTTTTTATTCTGCTTCAATCCAAGTGTTTTACCAGTATTAGAATAAGAGTTGGTAATATTTAATGGAGGGATCAAAAACTAAATTAAATTTAATGCTTTGCATCAATCACCATGTATCCTTTTCACTCTCTGAGCCTACTTACTTGAGTCTGAAATCATCCGCTGTCAGCCTGGCATTATCAATCTGCAGAACAGCATTAGCATTGCTGGTGGTGGAAGCAATGATCTGGAAAAGGGGGGTTTGACTTTTAAAAGGCAATTTATTACAGCCAATAAGATACAAGTATTTTTTTTTTTAGAGTAGGGAATGGAAATAATAAAAATTAATATAGTTACTAGTCAGTGACATTTTTATCATGAGTTTCACCAACTGAATCTACTCAATGCTTATTTCCAATGTTAAATTGAAATTTCCTTTAAGAAATTACACATAGGGACGATAAGTGTTTTCAGTATTCAGTGAAGAAAGGAAAAGAACGTTTAGAAATAAACATGATTGTGAAGTGTAATTTCTTACCTGATTTTTAAGATCGTCGACTATTGGGAAGTATCTACTATAGTCGTGATCAAGACCACGGCAGGAACCAGGCCCAAATTTCTCATACCAGCCCTTGATCTTCTGCTCCAGGTCGGCGTTGGCCTCCTCCAGGGCACGCACATTCTCCAGGTAGGAGGCCAGCCGGTCGTTGAGGTTCTGCATGGTCACCTTCTCGTTGCCTGACAGGAGGCCGCCCTCATTCAGCGTAAAGCCAGCACAGAGATTGCTTCCCGCTGCGTTGCCTCCTGATGAACTGCCCCCAAAGGCACAGGAGAAACTGCTTCCAATTCCGGGCATGCTGCAAGCATTTCCAACTCCAAAGCCGGCTCCCCCGCCAGAGAGCCTGAGGGACCCTGCGGTAGGACGGGAGCAGGCCCTCCTGGACCCGCTGGAAAGTCGCAGAGACATGGTGTCAGGACAAGCGCGTTGCACAGCTGTCTCGGAGGAAGTCAGAATGGAGTGCCTCGTCTCCTCAACTCTTCTGTTTGCCTTTTTATAGACAATTCCCAAGTGTGCTCTGGACGAAATTCTGCCTACATAGAGTAAAACATGGCTTGCCAGCCTCAGCAAGTTAGCATAATTGGATGATTTTTCCTAATTAGTAACTAACTTAGCTGGGCTCCTTTCTGTAGGAGGGCAGTTGCCCTCAGGTTGGTGGTTATCTGAGAAATTGGTCTGGGTGGAGTAATGTCAGTTTCCTTATTACATCTTTAAATGGTGAGTGAGTCACTCTTCACTTCCATCCTTAGAAGATAAAACTCGTCCGTCCATCACACAGTAAAAATCTGGTGTCATGGTTTTGGGCTATTTTGCTAATAGATATGGATGCTTCTGAGACCTTTCCTACTTTTATTTTCACAGTTCTTTCCACGTAAGTAGAGCACAGACTCGTGTTATTCCCCTCAAATGGTCCTTCCATTCTTAGTTTTCCCTCCCTCTTGGCACTGTTTCTAATGGGAACCTCCATTTTGGCTGATGTGCGTCATCTCCTGTTGACACTTATGTTTGGGGATAGTTGTCTTCTCTTATCCATTTTGGCAATTAGGAACACACCCCTAATTGCTGTTATGTGTTGCGGGAGTTTGGAAGGACATTAACGTATTTCCTGACCCTGCAAAAATCTAAAGCAAACCTAGAAGGAAATGTTTCGTCTGTTTTTATTTCACTGTGGTTTAGCTTAGGTGAAAGTCATCAGTAGACTAATTATTCACTGGGTGTGGATTCCCATATATTTATTGAAAACCCTGAATATTTTGGAAAATTTTGAAACATCTGGAAATTGACTTGTGGGCACAATTTCTATGAATATTTATTATGTGAGGCTGTTACAGATTCATTCATTCGTTTATTTAATAAATATGTAGTAAACATCTGTTATGTGCCAGTCACTGTTTTGGGCACTTTGGATAAGTAGAATCATACATTATTTGTCTTTTGGTGATGGGCTTATTTCCTTTAGCATAATGTCCTCAAGTTTCAACCATATTGTAGCATGTGTCAGAATTTCTTTTCTTTTTAAGGCTGAATAATATTCCATTGCATGTATATACTATATTTTGTTTATCCATTCATCAGTAGATGGACATTAGAGTTGCGTTTACCTTTTGGCTATTGTGATTAAAGCTATGATAAACATGGGTATACAAATATCTGTCCAGGTCCCTGCTTTTATTTCCCGTGGGAATTCTACTTCTCGAAAGTAGAATTACTAGATCTTATGGTAATTCTATTTTTAATTTTTTGAGGAAATGCCATACTGCTTTCCATAGTAGCCTCATTATTTCACATTCCCATCCATAGTGCACAAGGGTTCCAATTTCTGCACATCATCGCCAACATTTGTTATTTTCTTTTTTTTCTTTTCTTTATTGGGGCCATCCTAATGCACATCAGGTGGTGTCTTCTTGTGGTTTTGATTTGCATTTCCTTAATGATTAGTGATGTTGAGCATCTTTTCATGTGCTTGTTGGCCATTTGAATATCTTCTCTGGAGAAATGTCTATTCAAGGTCTTTGCCCATTTTTAGAGTCATACTGTTTTTTTGTTGTTGAGTTGTAGGAGTGTGCTATATATTCTGGATATTAATCCATTATCATTTCATTGTTAAACAGGTTGAATTTATCACTCTTTATTTTTGGATTGTGATTCTATTATCTTATTTAAGAAATGATTAATTCTCCAAGCTCATACAAATATTTTCTTATTTTGTTTTCTAAACATTGAATCATTTTGCCTTTCACATTTAAAGCTTTGGTAGTTTGGAATAATTTTTTAGTATTCTTTTTTTTTTGAATCTTTGATACAGAATCAAATTTCATTTTTAAAAATGTGGATCATGGGGACACCTGGGTGGCTCAATCGGTAGGGCATTGGATTTGAGTTCAGGTCATGATCTCCCCATGAGTTTGAGACCCACGTCAGGCTCTCTGCTATCTGCTTTGGAACCTCTGTACCCCACCCCCCCCCCGCCCCTCTGCCACTTGTTCTCTCCCTCTCTCTCTTTCTCTCAAAAATAAGTAAATATTTTAAAAATGTGGATAATGATACTTTGAGCATATTTACTGAATGGTGCCATCCTTTCCCTGTAGTGCCATATTGTCAATAAAGAAAGTGTTCACTGCCTCCTCTGTCCTTAAGAAAATCTTCATATAGGTGAGGGTTCATTTGGTACCAGTTTTCTGTCTGTGCCGGAACCATATCATTTTTGTCACAATTGCTCCATAATTTAACATGATATTTGGTAAGGCAAGAACTCCACCAACTCCTTGCCATCAAGTCAATTTTTATTTCTCCATTCCTCTTTTTTTTTCATTCTTTTTAAAAATATAATTTATTGTTGGGGCGCCTGGGTGGCTCAGTCGGTTGAGCTTCCGACTTCGGCTCAGGTCATGATCTCACGGTCTGAGTTCGAGCCCCACATCGGGCTCTGTGCTGACAGCTCAGAGCCTGGAGCCTGCTTCAGATTCTGTGTCTCCCCCTCTCTCTGACCCTCCCCTGTTCATGCTCTGTCTCTCTCTGTCTCAAAAATAAATAAACATTAAAACATAAATTTAAAATATAATTTATTGTCAAATTGGTTTCCATACAACACCCAGTGCTCATCCCAATTCCTCTTATATAAATTTTAAAATCAGCTTTTTAAATACAATAAGATCTTAAAGTGTGCCTTAAATCTTTAAAACTATTTGAGAAAATTTGACATCCCTATGATATTGTGTATATCCAGAAAATTGAATATCCTTTCCATTCACTGAGGTCTTCCTCAATGTCCATTAGTAAAAAGTTATTTTTCCATATGTGCTTTCATATCATTTTTTAGAACAACTTCCAGATATTTATCTAATATTGTTGTTGAGGATATCTTTTATTTTTATTTTTAAAATGTTTATTTATTTTGAGAGACAGCATGGGAAGGGCAGGGAGGAGAGGGAGAGAAAGAAT